GGAGTGAAATTTCTTTTACACAGCTCTTCCTTCTGCCTGCCCAGCCCACTGTCCTGTTGGCCAGAACCAGTCTGGTGGCCAAGCCAACCCTAGCTGCAAGAGATTCTTGGAATGCAGATGTTTTAGGTACAAGAAGGAAGGGAAAAGATGACTTGTGCATGGCTTGGGGAACCAATCTTTAGTGTCTGACGCTGTTGTTTTTAAAGCAAGCCTGTGAAATGGGTGACTTTTTTTTGAGATAGAGTTTCACTATGGAGTCCAGGTGGGCCTTTGCTTTAGCACTGGGATTATAGGCGTGCATCATTCCCTGTTTCTTTTTCTGATCTTTAAAGGCTCTGAATCTGTATTTTGTCATTGTACTATGACTGCTCCACCTTCGAGGACAGACTTATTAACCAAAGTCACAAGACCAATATTCAGAACAACTTGCAGTGGAGTCACAGGTGATGAAGAAAGTGAAGGCCACAGGGACAAGGGGACAGTGCTGCCCAATACAGGGCTTGCTCCCTGAAGGCAGGTGAGCAGGTAATCAGAACAGAGATTTCACCTGTCAAAAGGTGCGGTTTAATGGCATTTGACACTTCCATTTCACAAGGATTAGATAGTGGCTCAAGAAAGTCAAGAAAGGTTAGATAGAATTAGGACAGGGAACACAGTTTACCTCTGCGACTCTCATTTTATAGCTAATAACCTTTGGTGTTTTAAAATTTTCTTTAAAAATGTTTTATTGCAGAAACTTAGAAACCTATAAAAACACACAGCTAAGGTAAGGAACTTCCTGCTACCCACCAGTGAACTTCCACATCTGGCTAGTCTGCTTTTATCTACACCTCAACTGCTTCCCCGACTGACCTGTGTTATTTTGAAAAAAGTTGCAAACATCCTGATTGCTTTAAAAGATAGTTATTCCATCAAGTCCTTCTGGTTTGAGAGTCAGTCATGTTTTTCTTTCTCTTGTGATTTTAGCCATCTTTGTTCAGATATTAAAATGGCTCCCTGAGGACAATTTTTCAGTTTGTGGGGATGCCTACGCCCTGAGAATTGCCACTACTTTTAGGCAGCGTACTTTCTACCTGCTTTTATCTTCTCTCAGTTACTCAAACCTATTGTTCAGAGCATCAGTTATTGGACTCACTGCACAGCAACAATGTCAGGCTGTCTGTGTCCCCCCTAGGGGACTCGATCAAGATGTGAGCAGGGGGGAGAAATGACCGAAGCCTTGTATGCACATATGAATAATAAAACAATAATAAAAAAAAAAGATGTGAGCTCTCTGGGAATGGAGCTCCAGAATCTGTGGGTAACAAACCCCCAGGTGGTTATCCTGCCTGCGGCAGGTGGAGAGGCACCTGGCCCGGGTTTCAAGGTGCCAAGGAAGCAAACCATGGTGCTGCAGAACTGGAAAGGAGATTTCTAGAAAAGCAGCTGCAGTTTTCTAACGCTTTCCTCTCCCCCTCCCTGGCTCTGGCTTCTCCCTGGGTCAGAGGCTCTGAGCCTGGCAGCTAATGTGCCACCGTGGCTGCCCCAGGGGAAAAGGGCATGAACTTGGAAATAGCTGATGACTGCTCAGAGGTCTCTGTCCTTCGGTAGCTGGCTGTGTGTCACATTCTGTGGGCACGGTAGGTCTTAGTGACGTGTACGGTCCACGTGAGCACACAATACAGATACACACATATGCACGCATACACATGTATTCAGACTCACATAGCGAAGTGCTGGCATGGAAAGAGATCATCTCTCCATCCTCCTGAGCGCTTTTGTGGAAGTCACTGTGGGACAAGTGTGGCTCCCTCAGCATGTCCCACCTCATGACAACTTGAATGTGGCTTGATTTTCATTTCCAGCCCTGTTTTGAGGTCCCTGAGGCTTTTCTGTTTTGGAGCAATCTTCCTCTCTGCCAGGGGGAGCAGGTAGATTCTGGAATCTGGCGGAGATGCAGGATGCTGCTGGTGAGTTGAGGCCACTAACTGTTTGAATTCTGTATGACTTGTGCATAAGGTGCAGCTTCCTCTGGGGGACCACACCGTGGTGGACACGAAACTCAAGTGACAGGTCCGGAAGTACAGGACTATGTTACTTTAGGACTAACGAACCGCAAGCCATACTGTGGCTGGTAACTGTGCTCTAGGCACATGTGGCATAAAAATGCTTGTATTTGTTTTAAAAGCTAAGCCAGCTTGACTTTGTTACTGCAGGCTCCAAATGTGCAATTAGCCATGTTGAAATTTAGGCTTATTTAAAAAATTAAAAAGCCCTGGAAATGGTGTCTTCATGCAGGCACTCCAAGTTCAACTTGATGATAGGAACCGACATTAGCCAGGAATTTTTTGTTTTTTTGGTGGTGGTTGAACTCGGGGCCTCACACAAGCTAACATCCCCTTCCCCCCACCAAGTCACACCCCCATTTTTTTTTTTTTTGGTAGTAGGTTATTGGGGCTTGAACTCAGGGCCTACACCTTAAACCACTCCACTAGTCCTTTTATGAGATTTTTTTTTTTTTTTTTGAAGTAGGGTTTCCCGAACTGTTTGCCTGGGCTGGCTTTGAACCTCGATCCTCCTGCTCTCTGCCTCTTGAGTAGCTAGGATTACAGGCATGAAACACTGGCGCCCGGCTCATATGTTTGTTTTTAAAATACACTAAATCTTTTCCCCAGAGTTCTGTTTTGTACTTCTTATGAAAATGAGCATGGTGACAAATCCTCCCCACAAAGGGGCCGACCATGAAGTTCACAGCTTGCTTGGAAACAGAAATGAAAACTGGGAGGGTGCAGGGATTTTCCCTGAGTGAGCTCATTGGTGTTAGCAGTTTTTTTTTTTTTCCATTTAAAAATTATCGTGTACCAATTGTACAAAATAGTGGACTTTGTTATGATATTTTTCACAGTACTGGGGTTTAAACTCAGGGCCTACACTGTGAACCACTCCACCAGTCCTTTTTTGTGATGGTTTTATTCAAGATAGGGTCTCTCGAACTATTTGCCTGGGCTGGCTTGGAATTGCGATCCTCCTCATCTCCGCCTCCTGAGTAGCTAGGATTATAGGTGTGCGCCACCCGTGCCGGCCTCATTACCCTCTCTTGTTCCCCCTCTCCTTCCTCTTCCCAAATAGGCCCCTTCCTACTTTCATGTCTTTTTTCTGTTTTGTAGATTTCACACTATTAGTGAAAACAGGATATTCACCTTGCTGAGCTGGCTTATTTTACTTAACCTGATGATTTCCAGCTCCATCTATTTTCCTGTACATTACATGACTTTCCTCTTTAACGCTGAATAATACTCCATCATGAATATCTACCACATTTTCTTCATATACTCATCCACTGATGGGCCCGTCATCTGACTTCATGACTTGGCCACTGTGTGTCTCTGTGTTATGCTCATCTGCAGTGGATGCCCGGGGGCAGCTGGACCCCATGGTAGTTCTATTTTTAAGGGGCGGTAGTTATTTTATTTAGCCAAGAAATCACTCCATCCTTTCTGTTGTTCAGACCAAAAAATCCCATACTGCTGCTGGCTCACACCTGTAATCCTAGATCAGGAGGATGTGGTTCGAAGCCAGCCCCAGGCCAATAGTTCAAGAGATCCTCTCAAAAAAACCCATCACAAAAAAGGGCTGGTGGAGTGACTCAAATGTTAAAAGCATATATCTAGCAAGCTGAGGCCCTGAGTTCAAACCACATGCCACCCAAAAATAAACAAATAAATAAATAAAACCCATAGGCCTTATCTGTGACTCCTCACTTCCCAATGTATGAAGCTTTATTTATTTATTTTTCTTTTGGTGCTAGATTCAAATCCAGGACCTGTGCACACTAGGCAGGAGCCGTGCATTCTGCCCCAGGCCAGAAGGACAGCTTTTTCTCCTGCTTTGACTGTGGCGAGGGCCTTGCTGGTTTTGGAGGTGCTGCCACTGAGGCTGTGCTCCTTCCTAGTCACAACAAAGTCTTGTCTCTATCTCTCAAATGCAAAGCAACCCACCTTCCTACAGTCCTCAGCCACTCCTGCCACTGTCACCCCAGGGCCAGAATTCAGACAACTAGCCATCCCCCCCCCCCCCCCCCCCGCCACCCAGCACTCTGTGGCAAGTATTCAAGCTGGTCAGTCCTGTGTCCTCGCTGTTCCTTCCTGCAGGACTTACAAATCGAGGGGTTTGCTCAAGTCTTGCCCTTGCTTCTCCCTCTGTGTGACAGGCCTACCACGGCATGCCCCCTTCTCTGGAAAACTGCCGTTAATAACTCTCTTTTTGATGACACATCTCTCACATCTCAGTAATAAAACATGCATTTTAAAATGCCTAATCCTACACCTCAGCAAATCCTGTTGCTGCTTGTAGACACACCCGATTGCAGCCTCTCCTGGTCAGTCTCGTCCCCATGACACCATCATCCCATACTTCTGCTCCTTCCTGTCCCTATCTCCACACCACTCTCAAGTCCAGAGCCAGAGCTTTTGTCACTCCTTCCACCTGTTCACATCCCTCCAACTAGAGGGGGAATCAAAACTAATTTCAAAGCTACTTCTGGAGACTGCAGTAAACTCATTTGAACAAAACTTTTTTTTTTTTTGGTACTGGGGTTTGAACTCAGGACCTACACCTTGAGCCACTCCACCAGGTGTTTTTTGTGATAGGTTTTTTGAGATAGAGTCTCAAGAACTATCTCCCTGGGCTGGCTTTGAACCGTGATCCTCTTGATCTCTGCCTCTTGAGTAGATGGGATTACAGGTGTGAGTCACCATGCTCAGCCCAGCTGCTCCCCACACATCCTTGAGGTGGTGGTGGGGGTCTCATAAACTTTTTTTTTTTGGCTGGGCTGGCCTCAAACTGCAAACTTACAGATCTCAGCCACCCAAATTGCTAGGATTACAGGTGTGAACCACCACTGCCCAGCTGGCTAGTACTATTTTTAAACAACTTACAATGTAAAGTTCATTTAGTAATTTAAATAAGCAGGCAGGCACATCATGAGAAAATCATTATTGCTTTTCTTCCCCCATCCACCAAAGAATGACAATGACAAATGATTGTATATTTTGTTTAATACTTGCATTGTTTCTATAGCGCAATTATAGCAGTCTTTAAATTTACTTTTCATTACAAATATTTGTCAAGTTTTGTTTCAGAAACATTTTTCCTACTCTCTTGCACATGCGCCCAGACACACTACAAAAAATTCATTCATCACACAGTAAGGGCAAACATTACTCATGTAAACATCTTTCATTAATTTCCCATAATTAAAAAAAATCATAGAATTATAGATATTGAATAAGGCTCATAGATTTAGTTCAAATTCCACAAAAGACCGACGACGCTCAAGAACTTTTGGTTGCAATAAATTCAGAAAGCAGACCCCTGGCTTCCACTCCATACGCCTGCCTCACACAACCCAAGAAACGTATTTCAGGAAAAAAGAGAACACAGAAAACCCAGGCAGAGAAACGTCTGAAGTAGGGAGGTCAGAATCATGGACTTTCTTACTTAATTACAGGCATTAGGTTCTCATACAGGAACCAAGATGAGTTACAGTATCCCAAAATGTAACCAAGTAGAGCGGTTGGGATACACTGGCAGACGCATGGTTCATATTGCTAGTATACACAGTGAAAATTCGTCCTCCGAAATATTTCATTATATCCAGGACCAAAGGGGAAAAAACCCACTCAAGTCGAATTCGTTATAAAGGAGGTTGTTTTCTCTTTCTCACTCTCTTTTTTTCATTAACTCAAGAGTCAGGAGGGAGGAAGGAGTGTGTCCTAGGGACTGAGTGGTCTTGGAAAGGAAATGACCTCTACAACTGTGTGTAGAGTCACAGACAGGAAGCCGGGGCTCTGAGATCCAAGACGTCTCTCTCTCTGGCTGGAAGTTGGGTGCTGGGGTGCATAGTATTCCAGAGCTGAGACAGGAAGTGGACTGTGCTGAGAAATGGACCCCTGCGGTGGCTGCCTGCTCTTCCCTCTGGGAGGGGGAGGTCGGGAGGCAGAGGCCATTGCAAACCATGATATCCCACCCTGGGGTCTCCACCCAGGGCAGCCTCCCTGACCTGGGACTAGGCAGTAGGGGGGTGTGGGGATGGCGGCCCAGCTCCGAGGGTCACGGCCAAGTCTGGCTTCGGATTCTGCTGCCCTGCAAAGAAGTTGTGCTCCGGATAACTGCACCGGTGTCTCTAATGTCTGGGATTTGCCCGGGGCCCCAGGGCCCGCAGGGAATCACGAAAAGGTAAACACACTTCCCGTTAGCACCGAACTCACCACCCGCAAGCAAGCGGCTGGGGTCCTGGGGAAGCCCCAGAGTGATCTGTAGGCTTTTGATTTTTAAAAATCACAATTGATCTGCAGTATATCTCAGTAGACTCAGATAATTCTCACCAAAGATTTTTGTAATGTGTTTAAATAGCACTGGAATAATTCAACTTCTTTTAAATATATTCATTCTATCATGAAAATATTTCATACAAACATCTATTTATATACAAACACATTAAAATTTGTGAAAAGGGTTTCTACCCCTGTGGTTGTATGGCTTCAAATAGTTTCATTGCTTTGAATATGTATGCACACATTTGGCCAAAGAAAACTTCTAAGATTTAGTATTTTTAAAATTAAAAAACAAACCAAAACAAAACGATATTGAGATTCCAAATTTCTGAAGGGAAGAATCCAAGAAAAACCAAAACCCCCCAAAAAAATCTATCAAGGTACCTCAAGTGCACATAAATTTAATATATTTTGTGAACCTTTGATCTGTGGCAAATTTCAACTATCCATCTTGCAACATAGTTTTGCTTGTTTTTCTAAAACAACAAAAAAGTTTGAATTGTAAATCACTACTCAGGACAGAACTTGGGGCGACTTGTGTAAAACAACAAAACAGAAACTCTAGCTCTACCTTCTTGGAAGATTTTAAATGCATTTTGCAGTGAGCGATTTAAGTTTTTATGTGAAATGAAAGTCACTAAAAGTGCCACATACTGTCCCGCTATGACAACCCTTTAATTCACTGTTCACAATTAATGCAATTTTATTTTATGACGTGCTGGGGATGGAACCCAGGGCCTCCTGCAAGCCAGGCAAGGCCTTGCCACTGAGCTCCACCCTAGCCCAATCAATTTTAATTGTTACAATGAAATGTTGCATATAGTCACATTTGGCCTCGTTGGCTTTTTTGGATTGGTGATGGTAAGGAAATAGTCTTTTCAAGTGTGATGAACCCCAAAATGCAAAGAGGTTTGAACTCTAGTTCTAGACAGGTTCAAAGAGGTCTTGAAAAATGAATTTCCTTCTTAGTAGCTCAGGGAGACCAGGAATGAAGCAGGTTAAATAGAATAGGTACTACAAAATCCAAGTCCTCCTCATCTGTCTTTTCATCTCGTCATTGCTTCACGTGGGAAATTCATTCCTGCTCTGGCAGGTTAGCCCCGATCCTAACTAACGCAAGGTGCTATGGCATCGTAGAAAGGATCTAAGGGAGGATCTAGTCACGCAGGAGTGGGACTGAGAGAGCTCTGAGCGAATCCTGGAGCCCCTGGCGTCACGCACACGCACACCGCCCCCCACGCCCCCCGCTGGCTGGGGGAAGAGTGGAAAGTGATTTCTTTCCCACCACATTTTTTGCTGTGATCCCAGTGCTGAGGAAATGGCCAGATTCAGCTGACTCCTCGCTACTTCCTTCCACAGCGGATGTGCAGCACAGAATTCATTCTGAGGCTTCCCCACTTTGAATCAAACAAGGACGAACCTTTCCTTCCTCAACAGCTGATTCTTTACACAACCTCCATCGCCCACTTCTTTACCTACTCAGGGCACAGAGACTCGCCAGCCTGTGACAAAGCCGTAGGTCTGGGAACGTGTGTGGAAGAAACAAGACAGAAGGAGCTGGACAGACACAGGGACTGGAAGTGATGCACAGAGGGAAAAGTACCCATGGAGGGTATCCGAAAGGCTCGCAGAGAGCCAGAGGGAGGCCAGCAGGGGAGGAGAGGAAGTGGAAACACAGGGAAAGCCTGGGATTGCTGGGCTGGGCTGCTGTTCCACTCGGACCCTCAGACATCCTCATCTGTGCAGAGAGGAGAAGAGAGACAGAAGAAGAAAAAAAGAGCTGGAAGATCCAGGAAATACAGGGAGTTAGGGAGACAGAGAAGCTTGGTGTGGGTATATTGTTTCTTTGGACTTGTCTGAAGGTCACGGACACATGGCTGGGTTTTAAACCCATAGTGCTAAAGTGAAGAATGGATTAGCTGGTTAGTCACTACTTAGGACTCCTCAGTTCCTTTTATTCCAAAATTTGAAACACTCCGCTTGAATGGGATAGCTAGAGTAGCCCTTAAGAATAGAAGCTGTGTCCATGCAGCCACGAGCAGCGGGTATGTGTTGTCACAGGCTTGAAGTCCTGCCAGGCACAGCGCATCAAGGTGGGACCTGCTGCTTCTCCCTACCCCAGTCACTCCCAGACTGGTTCCACAGCCCAACTGACTGACACTGATGGAAGCCATCTTTCTTCAAAGAAGTCACTCACTTTTGACATATTTAAATGAAAGCACCTATCAGAATACAAATCCAGACTTCACCTATCTGTCACAGTTTACAGGCAGTCTCTTTCTACAGAATAGAAGCGATCCTATCCTGGTGCCTTTTAATCTACAAACTGCTCAGTTCCTTTTGTGGGAGATCTTTTTTGGAAATCCTGATGACTTCCACTCCTGGGTGAACCATCAGCTTAAGCTTCCAAACAGGGATCCAAGTGGATCTCCCAGAAGCCACTGCCACCTGGCTGCAGAGTACATGGTGGGTGCAAGCCAGGAAGCCTTGCAAAGAAGGGGAGGGCAGCTGTGTCCCCTTGAGCGCTGAGTCCTGTGTCCAGGAGCTGCCTGACAGGCAAACGCTTTCATCAAAGCCTTCTAAGAGCAATATGTAACTGACAAGAAATCCCAAACTTCTTTCTGTCCTAATCCTTACTCTAAGCCTACTCCCAGCAAGCGTCCCTCAGCTGGAGCTCACTGTCACTAACGACAGCTTGGAAGGCTTTAGCTTTAAGACCAAACTGCAGACAAGTGGCACTGTTGACAGCTGCAGGCCAGAGCAGCCATAGCTGCAGACCTCCCAGCCACCTTGTCCAGGCAGCTGAAGACAGGCTGATGGCACGTGGTGAGTGAGCATGCTTATAAAAGCCCCGTTTCCCAGAATCCATTCAGGGCAATCTCAGTCATTTTGCAGCACTAATAGGCCAAACTCAAAAGCAGGGGTTTTCTCCTTATTTCTGCAGTTGTGATTACACATGGCTTTCGAGATGGCTGAAATGCTACTGATATTTTTGCTTTTAAACTATACAGGTGTGAACTTCTAGCTTAATATGCTTTGAAGCAGGTAAGAGCTTTGAAATTACCCCGAAGAGTTTTAGCTTTAAGATTTGATTTGTACCTATTACAATGTCTGCCTTCATAGCACTGATTTGAAAGAAGTTTCTGAATTCTGCATTAGAACTCAAGTTTGCTATTGATTTTTTAATTCAATGCCTGTGTCATAGCCAGACTGCACTAGGTTATGTACATTGAATGTGTACCCAAGGAGAAAAAATTATTAGCACTATTGAAGATATTGCAAAATTGCCACAGTTTTTGCCTAGAAATACTAATTTCCCTCTCTTATCTCTTAAGGTATATATTACAACTCTTCCATAACTTAATGCAAACAAAGTAAATTCATTTCTTCTCACATCTGAAAGCAAAAGTATCTTTGTTTGCATGCGAGAATAATAATTCTATAATAATATCCTGGCCCTATGAGCCAGTACTTTATATCAGGACACAATGATGAAATAATGATCTAGAAAAAAACCCAGAGAATCTACACACTGCCACTGTGGCGAAATCCATTTGGAAGTTTTCCTTGAAAGGACAGCTAAGGTAGGAGTAGGACTAAAGAAGTGACTCAAAAAGTGGGCTTCTGTTCGCTAGGGAAAAAACAAAGCCATCCTATTGCAAGATAGAGATCAAAGGTTAAAAGGCAAATTATACTACACTTAAGAGAATAAAGATTTCATCCCCCTCTCCTTTCCATATGGCACACATGCAAGTGTGACAACACAATTTGCACTGGCCATGAGAAAAAAACATGGAAAAATCACCTAGGAATAAAAACGACTGAAAAAAATCCCGTTTCCCTTTTTCAGTGCAATCATTTGACATCTCTATGTGGTTCAGATTTAGACTTGAACCACCAAAGAACATCACGCCGCCGTATGTCAAGCGCTCCACAATGCCTCTCAGTAGGATTGTTGCAAGGCTAGCTAATTTTAAATCTGGTATGAGTGATACAGTCAAACCTAGTTAGTATGCAAGAAAGGTGTTGCTAACACAGGGTGAGAGGATGTGACATCACAGCATGGGCAGTCCCTGGTTGTCCCGTTGTCGGATAAACGTGTGCATAGATCCAAGTTTCCATCCCAGGTCTCTGGACCCCAGAGCCACCAGGCCTTTCACTTTTGCTGGGTGGCCTGGAAGGCCTTCAGCTCCACCTGGTACCACTCAGGGGCCTCAGGCCCGCTCTTCCCCGGGGGGCTGTGGTCATAGCCATAGGCGACGGTGAGCTCCTCGTCCGTCTCCACAGCTCTGAGGGTGCGGATGCATTTGATGGGCCCAAAACGGGGGTGGACAAACCTAAACAGCAAGAGGCATACGGTCATTCCCAGGCCGGAGCAGAGGTCAGAGGCAAAGGCTAGCGAGGCCAGTGCAGGCACTGCCCTGTGCCCTTGTCTGGAAGCCCCTGGTGCCAGCCAGCTTTGGCTCCAGTAGGACCCCTCAGACAATAAGCCCCACCCCTTCCACAGACCTTCCAGGCTGGAATGGCCCAGGAGAGGCCCTGGCAAAATCTGTCTGCCTTCTTGAGCCCATTTGGCTGAATCAGCATTTGGGATCTGCAACCTGTCCTTCATGAGAAATCAGATCCTGTGCAGTGTCAGCAGCTCAGCTCTCCTGGCTGCTAGCATCAGGTGACCTGGCTGTACCTCTGGGAGAAGGCTTGAGCACAGTGAGTTTGCAATCTCAAGAAAGCCCAGTGGATTTGCAAAAGCAAAAAGTGTGTGTTCCGCACTACCTGTATGAAGGGGCCTCAGGGTCCATCCCATTTAGGTGGCGTGTTTTGGGAACAGGATGTTTAACTCAGTGCAGGACTGTGAACAAGCATATGTGTGTGTGTGTGCATGGCAGGTGAGTGTGTGCACATGTGTGTACATAGCAGAATCAGATTGTGTTCTCTCTCAAGTCTCCTGAGCCAAAGATTCAGGAATTTCTTGTTAGAATCACAGCTTTGTCTTTAGAGACAAACACCTTAGGGCCTAGGGAGGCAGCTCAATCGTAAGCCACTTGCCTCACTTGATCCTCAGCACTGCAAATCAACAAATCAAAAGAGCAACAAAAACCTCCACTCTGCAAGGTGCTGGTGGCTCCCTAGCTACTCAGGAGGCAGAGATCAGGAGGATCGCAGTTCGAAGCCAGCCCAGGCAAATAGTTCACAAGACCCTATCTTGAAAAAACCCATCACAAGAAAGGGCTTGTAGAGTGGCTCAAGAATTCAAACCCCAGTACCACACCAAACAAACAAAACCACAACAAAAAAACCCACTCTTATAATTTCCATCTATTATTTTAGTATAAAAAATAATCCTTCTGAAATGGAGCTCTGGTTAACCTTCTGACCCTCTGATAAAACCCCATCTCCTGAGGCTTCACAAATAGCTGACAACCCAAACTTTTTTTCTGTACCAAGCAGAACTCCTTGTTCCCACGTTACCTGTATTACAGCCAGGAAAGCAGTTTTTGTTTTGTTTCTTTTTCTTTTCTTTTTTTTTTTTTGGCAGTACTGGGGTTTGAACTCAGGACCTTACATTGCTAGGCAGGCGCTCTACTGCTTGAGACACACCTCCAGCCCAGGACAGCAGTTCCTGCCTGTTTGTTCATTTGCGTTTAGCACCAGACTACAGTTAACGAAGCTTACTTAATTGAAGCATATAAAAGAAAACACTGACTTGAGAAAGAATTGTATGAATTGGTATCTGAATTTTATATTTGGCTATTATTCATGTAGTCTTCCCATTACTGTAAATAACTGAGATTTGTTCACATTTGGCTTACAAAACAAAATCAAAACCTGCAGAGTAAAGACACTTGATTTTGCACGAATAAAGCCTCTCCGGTCTCCAGTTATCCCTTCCTTCAAGTGAGAAAATTCACATCCTTTAGCTTGTTCTAAAGGAAGAGTCCAAGTAGCATTTAGGGTCGCTAGTTACAGCTGGGGCAGCTGGGAATGATGCCTAATTCCCACTGGTCGAGGAAGCCTGGCAGCTAGTGACAGTGACAGTTTTCATCTGACATGTCCTTTGACTTCTAGGCCACCTCAGGGCATTCCTGAGGAACCTCCAAATCCAGGCAATTTTCCTGCAGATGAAACGCACCTGATCTGACATCTGACCCTGCTTATGAGAACAAGATGGATGACGGAGGGACTGCAGCTACAACCGAACAGAGAAGGTCACATGCAGTCCACTGGCGTCCAGGAAGGACTGGCGTGCTCAGGCCACGCTGAGGGGCAAGGTGGATGTACCGAGACCCCCAACTGTCTCCTCCTGGCAGCAGGAGTGACACTTGGCTTTGGGAAGGCTTTGCGTGTTTTGATTTATTTATATTTTTGTTATTGCTTTTTTTTTTTTTTTTTGAGACAGGCAACCATGAACCCCTTGCTCTGTCTGGATTCCTGTTTTGGACATTTCGGGTGAGTGGATGGCACATATGTGGTCTCTTGGGACTGACTTCTTGCCCTTGGTGTGCTTTGTGCTGTCTGTTCTCATCATGGTGCAGTAAGTGCATCGGTCCTTCATTCCTTTTTATTATCAAACAACAGGGACTCTGATGTTATAGTTCTTTTCCAACTCTGAGACCTCGTGCTCATGGCTTAGGATTTTATTTTCTCCTTCCTTTTATTTTTTGTGGTACTGGGGATTGAACTCAGGGCCTCACATCATGAAAGGGTTTCCTAACCCCTTTCTATTGTGCAGAGTAATTCCAAATTTCACTACTATTCCACTGCCTTTGTGTTTTTGTGTGGTGCTGTGGATGGAACCCAGGGCCTTGTTCACGTTCTACACTGAGCTACACCCCTAGCCCCAACACTATCTTTTTTTTTGAGACTGGGCCTCGCTGTATAGCCCAGGTTGGTCTGGCACTCAAGATCCAACTCCTTCAGTCTCCTGAGTGCTGAGATGACAGGTGTGCACCGCCACGCCTGGCTCTGACACTATCTTTAACTGAGCCAATCAAGGGACAAAAAGACAGCAGTAAAACAGCAGCCACTAAGGGTACTTCTGTCATATTTCTAGTCTTGAGCACTTTCCCTGCCCAGCTGCCAAGGCTGGAGGTGGGCTGTTTAGATTTGGAGTTTTAAGTCCACTTTAAGCCCATGATGGAGGCCCCCTGGTCATTCTGATAGAGCATCGTTTTCTGAGGTTTCATGTCCTCCTCAGACCTGGGGCCCGAGGTCCAGTTCCACCCAGCCGCTCAGCATCCTACTCACATGTCGTAGGTGCAGTTTGGAGTGAAGGAGTGATTCGCCTTGTGTCCCAAGGAGGCACAGTACTCGGAGACGTGGCTATAGGGCTCAGGCACATCGATGACCGTCTCCTCATCGAGGGACAGGGTGTTCCCATTCAGAGCCCAGTCCCGACTGTCCACCTGGAGGAAGGGAGAAAGCCAGCCTTGGAGAGGCCTGTTCTTTGCAAAAGCGCAAAGGATGGCAGATAGGTTAACTCTTCATCTTACCCTGCATGGCTTGGGTGCTACGGACATGAAAAATCCTAAGACTCTGCACGTGATTGTGCAACCAGACAGCTCAGTGGACTACCTACCTGTTGCTTTTTCCTTGTTTTATACAGAAAAGGAGGATTTCAATCACCTATAAAGACACAGCATAACCAGATAACTTGAACTGAAAGTAGAAGAAGAACTTGAGGCAAAAGAAGAACAAAGTATGAACATCGGATGGAATGGGAAATGTGACAGATGCAGTGTGATCTTCAGAGAAGGCCAACCTTCTGTGCCTGGGGTACCAGTGTGATCAGCAGCCAGTCCCCAAGCCAGTGTGCCTTCCTACCATGACAACGACCCATTATCTATGGTGCAGCCACCCGGCTTCCTTTCTCCAGGCCTCTCTGACAACACCCCCAGATCTTGGGAGGCTGTTTCAGAGCAGAGGACCATGTTTTCATGGAACCAGCATGCAACTCTCAGCTGAGAGACGTGACAGGTGTGCTTTTATTTGTTTGTGATATTCATGCAACAGATATGAACTAGATGGCCACACAGCAATGATCACAGGTAAGAAAAGTTCTCATGGATCTTAAAACTCCAGACCTGTCATGTAGTCTTGCTGCCATCTATCTATATTGCCATTAGGTGTCATTTTCTTATCTCATCTTCCCAGCAGAATCTAAACTTCATGGGGACAAGGAGGAAGTCTTGCTCACTGAGTCAGGGCAGCACAGTGAGTTTCAGCACAGAGCTGCTTCTGCTATCCAAAACCCTGCTCCACTCTGTTAGTTACTGTATTTATCACCTCGGGCAAGTTGCTTAACCTTCTGGGTTACAGTTTCCATCTGCATAAGATCTGAATGAATAAACAGAAGCTAAGCATCCCTAAACTGAAAACCCAAAATGCTCCACGATTCAAAAACTTTTGAGTGCTGATATGATGTTACAATTGGAAAATCACACACCTGAGCCCGTGTGACAGGTCTGTCAAAGGCAGGTGCACTAAAAAATAGTGTATAAAATTACCTTTAAGCTATGCATAAAAGGTATATATGAAACATAAATGAATTCCATGTTTAGAACTGTATCCCATCCCAAGTTATCTCAGTGTGTACATGCAAATATTCCCAAATCCGAGCCAGGTGCTGGCTCACATCTGTAATCTTAGCTACTTGGAGGCTGAGATTAGGAGGATCGAGGTTGAAGGCTAGCTCGGGCTAATAGTTCTCGAGACCCCGTCTCCAGGAGATGGCTCAAATAATGTATACACATGTAAGTAAATGCAAAAATGTTAAAGTAAAATAAAATAAAAAGAGACCCCCGCCATCTCTGAAATAACCAGAGCAAAATGGACTGGAGGTGTGTTCAAGTGGTAGAGCAACTGCTTTACAAGAGCGTAGCCCTAAGTTCAAACCCCAGTCCCACCAAAAATGAAAAACAGTAAAATTCCAAAATCCAAAAAAATTCAAAATTCAAAACACTTCTCAATATGTACTCAACCTGTAATATAAGGTTGCTTGTCCCTAGGCCACCTTTCATACACTCAATTTCTTGGGCTATCTGGGGCCATTCTTGGGGCACCATCTGCTCAGTTTGAATGCATCACCATCTTTGGCTTGTATGACTGACTTGAATGTGTGATAGACTATTTCATGGTATTTCCTTTCTTATTATTCCATGGGAATTGACAAAGTGAGGCAGGGAACTCCCTGGCTATGCTGAAACTTTTGCTTTTAAGCAGACACTGGGTCCTAACTGTGAGACAAAGACAACACTGGGGGCTGAAGCAAGGGATCCAGAGTTCGAGGCCAGCCAGGGCCACATAGTAAGACTCTGTCTTAAAAAAAAAAAAAATCTGGAAAAGGTAAGAGGTGATGTGACACTTTGATGTTTTGTCTCATAGTGCTGGGGCCTCAGGAATGCTAGGCAGGTACTCGTGACAGCTGTACGCAGCCCCATAATTGTTTTTAACTTTTTATTGTTAATAATTTTAGCACCGAAACTTTTCCTAACAAGACAGGGTGTTTTATGACTTTTGCAGAAAGCCATAATGCACCTGCCTGAGGTCATTAATTATTAAGAGTTTAATTGGATCTTGGTGTAAGCTAGTGCAGAGCAGTGACTGTCCCCCGGATGGCACCATCCCACTTTCTATGAAGTCGTCGTGGAACTTGAAAGGGACCTTGTTTGAAACAAAGCCTTTGGATGGACTATGTTGAGTTTTGCTTGGGCACTCACCTCTTGGTGTGTAATTCGGACGCCATTGTAAAAAGCCATGACAGTATTAGGTCCCACTGCTACCTTGGCAAACAGTCCTTCTCCTGCACTGGAAATGAGGGACTGGGTAACGTAAACCCTAGGTAGAGAGAAAATCGTGATAATCTCACTCCCAACATCAGCCATCAAAATGTCGTTACAGCAACTGGATCCAAAATATCAGCTCCCAATAATCCTGCAGAGAAGCAAAGGAAGCAGAATCACTATGCCATGTGCTCCCCCTGGAAATGGAAGGAATGGTTGCCCTGTCACTTTTAAAAGTGCTACTTAAAGTTTATTCCTTAATAAGGAGAGGATTATTACATATTCATAGTTACTCAGCATATGAAGTAAGTTTTTTTTTTTTGTAGAGGTTTAAGTTCTTAGTTAATGACAATTTCCAGTCTTAATGGTCAAGAAAACATTTCCCAAAGTTACATAAAGCTATACCCAAGGTTGTCAAAGCCAGGTGGCAGGGGAGGACCGTTAACTCCAAGACAGATCTTTTATCTGAAAGGGCGACAGTTAATAGGATACATCCAGTAAGCACTTCCCGACCAGAAGGCTTAAAGCAGAGGTTGGCTTGAGGGTCAGAGGTGGCTGCTGCTCATTTTTGTAAATAAAGTTTTATTGGGACCCAGCCACGCCTATTGACTCACTCTGTGCCTTCCTGCTGCAGTGCTGGCTACAGAGGCAGAGCTAAGCAGTTGTGACAGACATCGCAAGGCCTGCAGAGTCGCAGAACGACTTTAACAAGCACGGGTTACACACAGAGAGCACCGCTTGTGGTTATGCAGCTGGATTTAGTGACAGAGAACTACCACTGTTCTCTGTTCCCTCCACTCTCGGTTCTCTGGATACAGTGGTGGGGTGACCGTGCAGGAACTGTCACCTCTAGTTTCCATCACATGGAGTTTATGCTTATTTCACAGATGGAAATCTGAGTTTGGTTCCCAGCTCACTCCTCCTTCGCTGTGAAAGAATCACCCACCCTGCCCCTTCGCAGTGACTGTGCTGCTAGTGACCCTGTGTCATTAGCACCGTCTGTGCTGCTTTGTTGAGAGAACACACTAGGTCTCAGGTCCTCAGAAACAGCCTCCCGCAGTTTCCACTCTCTCCAGAACAGTCTGTCTGGGGCTGCTGCTCCTGTAGTCCTTTTGTTGTTGGTGGTGGTGGTGCTGGGATTTGAACTCAGGGCCTCACACTTGCCAGACAGTTGCTCCACCACTTAAGCCAAGTCTCCAGCCTGCTCCTATAGTCTTGAGTCTCAGAATGAAGACTGGTCACACGAACCCCACCAGAGGTCTGGAGTCCCACATTGCCCAGCTGAACCTCGTGGAGCCCCATCTAAGGGGCCCAGCCTCAGCCAACCTACAGAACCGTCCGTGGAAAGAAAATGCTTGCTTCTGTGAGCAGTGATCATTTCAGCAGTGTTGTGTTTTGGGGCTAATACAGAAACCCAGCCCTCCCCTTTGTAACTGGGCCAGAGTCTCCTGTCAAAAAAGAGGTCATCATTTTGCTGCCCGTGACGCTGTGGAGTCAGCCCTGTCAGTTAAGCCAGGGAAGAGGCCTGTTTCTTAGATGGGAGCAGGAACTGAAGGGGGTGGGGTGAACCATGCTGCAGAGTGAGACAAAGGGACAAGTCACTCTGATGGGTCCTCACTCAGAAACAGACCAGCTGCTGTGAATACGATGACTCCAGGCACCCATGAAAACCACAGCAGGGACAGAGGGCCTGACCCCCTGTGATGAGCTTATGGAACCAGAGTCTTGTCATTTTTTTTTTTTTTCCATACTGGCATTTGAACTCAGGGCCTACACCTTGAGCCACTCCACTGGTCCTTTTCTGTAATGAGTATTTTTCAAGGTAGGGTCTTGTGAACTATTTGCCTGGGCTGGCTTTGAACCATGGTCCTTCTGATGTCTGCCTCCTCAGTAGCTAGGATTACAAGCGTGAGCCACCGGCATCTGGCAAGTCTTGTCATTTATGGGCTGGAATCTTCCTGCTTATTCTTATACGTTCTTTGTTTGCATCCTGTTCTCTCTTAAGGAATGTTCTGGGCCCCATGAGCAGGGCTAAGGGGAAAAGGAGGTGTCCAGGCTAAACTTTCAAGAGGGAGAGATGCTTCCCTACAAAGCATCATGGTACACAGCACACATGGTCCCAGAGCCCTGAGAAAGGGGACCCATGGGAGGACACAGCTGCTTGACCCAATGCTCTTTCTACCTAGACTTTTATCCTATGACTGACACAATGAGCTGTTGTGGGCTGTATGGGTACAGACTCTGTAGGAGAATAAACTTCCTCACAATGTGTAAATATTTACCTGAAGGATTCACAAAGGAAAAGAGCACATCGATGAGGGGCTTGGACTGGCCTGAGCAGACAGCCATAGAGGCACACCGGCTCCTGTCACTAGGGTTTTTTAACCTCACAGAAACAGAGCAAGTAGAGCCACAAGGAAAAAGTTACCTCTCCGATTCGTAAGGATCAGGAAGCAGAGCATCTGTAGAGATGCAAGATGACGTTGACTTATCAAAGTGGTACACAGAACCTAAAAAGCAAAGCAGCATGTCAGTGCAAGCATTTCTGGACCCATGCTACAAGAAACAGCTGAACAGCTGCCGCTGTTATTCCGGTGACCCCAACTAGAACAGTTAGTTGGTTAAATAGATGGTTGTTAGGTTCAATCTTCAGTTTCATTTGAGTCTTAATGGACGGCCATCATAGGTATTCTCTTAAAGTCCCCTGCTCTGGAGTTTTCTTTTTTTGGTAGCACTGGGGTTTGAACTCTGGGCCTCATGCTTGCTAAGCAGATGCTCTACCACTTGAGCCACTCCACCAGCCCTTGAGTTTTCTTTATGTAAATGACCTAAAAGCTGTTTGGGCACTTACTTTTTTATTCAAAGAAAATGGTTTGCCATGGAATTTTCAGATCTCTCTGGTCAAATCAAATTAGATAATGGTTTTTAATTTTCCTGTGGTTTCTTCATATGGGACCATCTGTAAAATCTACCAACCAAGCCCCATCTGTTGGCTCCCTCAGTTAAGAATAAACATTCAGCCTCACCAGCAGTCAGGAGAACAGCAGGGCTTTTGAGAAAGTACTAACAAAGTCATTTTGTTTCTATTATGGTGTGTAAAGCCCAGGCAGTATGTATTCCAGAAACTAAGATACGTGACCATCTAGCGTTCTTGCTGGCTCTCTGCAAAGGAGTAGTCTAGCAAATCCTCACAGATCATAAGGAAGACATACGACGCTCGGAGAGCTAAGAAGTAAAGCAACAGGATTCAGAGTCAAAGGTCTTATTCTCTCAAAATAAATTATTTTTGGCACTGAGAATCACTAACAATCCTATTAAGTAATTCTTTAGTCGTTACTCATGGTTACCAGGTCCTTTTTTTGGTTTATTTTTTATTTTAATCCAACCCAAACACAAAGTAATCCCTCAAACTAAAAGTTAGAAAGCAATCCAAATTACTCTGTGTTTAATCAGGAATCAGACCACTTAGATATTTAAAAGAGAGAAAATTTAACTCATACAGGGGACAGAGAAGCCGAGAAGCCTGTAATCCTAGCTACTCAGGAGGCAGAGATCAGGAGGATTGGAGTTCCAAGCCAGCCAGGACAAATAGTTTGTGAGACCTATCTCGAAAAAGCCCATCACAAAAAAAGGAGCTGGTGGAATGATTCAAGTGGTAGAGCGCTAGCAAGTGCCCGAGATCAAACCCCAGTGATACAAAAAAAGAAAAGAATACATGCCAAGAGCACAAATGCTACATCTTGTACTTCAAAGGTCAAAGGTTATGGATTCTTTTTAAAAGAAATTTTCACTTTAGAATAATTTTTAAATGTACAGAAAAGTTGCAAAGAAAGCACAGAGTTTTTGATGCTTATCCTGACGCTAACTTCTCACATTACGCAGTATGTTTGCCAAAATGAGAAAGCCAATATAAATCTATTTTATATTTAATAATATAAATTAATGCCAATAAAATACTAAATTTTAGCCTGTGTTCAGATTCTACTGGTTTTTCCACTATGGTCCTTTCTCTGCCTGGGATCCCACATTGCATTTGGACTGCTTCAATTTTTAATTTACACAATAAAAACAGAGACATCTAAAGCAACCCAAGTTGGACCCAAATGTAAACGCGAGATTTTCCATTCTGGACAATCTCCCTGTGGAATGTCTTTGTATTCCGATAGGTAAGTAATAGTTAGGCCTCTTAACACCTTGATTTTTATCTTTTTTTTTCTCCATGTAACCCACTCTGCACCAGAAATACCTGAATACACAGTTTGCAAAGAATCAGACAGCTATCTTAGGCTGTATCACTCAACACAAACCCATGATTTTTGCTCTGTATTTTCCTGATTTACCCAGAAAAATGCTTTAGTGTGGCCTGATGCACTTCTGAAAGGAATATGTTTGTTTCCCGACGTGGATTCCATTGAGTTCAGACATCACTGATGCGTGCTCCCTGCCAGATGCTGGGGAGCCAGGATATATGCTCACCTTCTCCTGCCAGGGCACAGGCTGAGTCCATGTCACTTACAGTGCCTACACATCTGGACAGCTCCCTGATTTTTTTTTTTTTTTTTTTGTGGGACTGGGGTTTGAACTCAAGGCTTTGCACTTGCAAAGCAGGTGCTCTACTGCTTGAGCCACACCTCCAGTCCATTTTGCTCTGGTTATTTTGGAGGTGGGGTCTCAAGAACTTTTGGTCTGGGCTGGCTTTGCACTTCGATCTTCCCTCTCTCAGCCTCCCAAGCAGCCAGGATTACAGGTGCAAGCCACCAGTGCCTGGCTGAATTTGTTTTTTAATGTCATTTAAATTATGGTTCCGTGTTTCGGAGATAAAAACATTTGAAATTGATCTAATTACTGCTGTCATTTCTTAGCTCTTGTCCTATATCAGAATTATCTACCTGTACCCTTTGTCACGTGACTTTTCAGTATCTCTCAGGTGCATGGTGTAATTTCTCTGGGTCACACATGGCTTGGCCATATGACTTGCTCTGACCAATGAAAAGTGGGTGAAGGGCTCTCCAGGGAGAAGCCTCAAGAGGCAACACAGGTGTGTGCTTATGCTCTGACATGTCTGTGATCTATCATAAGAAAGTCTTGTTAGTTTTTTTTGGCAGTAGTGAGGTTTGAACTCAGGGCCTCCCACTTGCTAAGCAGGCACTCTTACTGCTTGAGCCACTCCACCAGCCCTACCCTGAGAAAGTCTTGCCCCAGGTTGCCACTGTGCCTTCAGATTGGGCCTGTCGTTCAAACACAGAGGGAAGCCTTGAACCCAGCCTGGCCTGGCCCGGCTCAGCAGATCAGCAGACCTGTGTTTGTGGTCATAAACCACTGGGGTGTTGAGTGTGTGCTCTGCAGCCAAACCTTGTTAATACACCATTTATGGGAGCTATTCAGGGAAAAAGGAAACCTCTCTGACCCCCTCCGAAGCAGACTCCACTTACTTCCAGGCATCAGCTCGAAGTGCGGCCTCCCTTCCTCGGTGGCCAGGAGGGTGGCCAGTTTTCCTTCCATCATCTCCCCATCAATGAACTTGCCGTAAAGGGCAGTCCTCTCATCTGGGTACACGTAGGCTATCTTCTCTCCCGTCATCTCCCCATCTTCATTAACTTCTCCTACAAGGCTGCCTCCATCCTGATGGGGGAAACCAAAACCCAGAAAATATTATAGCTAGAATTTATCTATAGGGCAAGAGTTCAAGAAACGTCTATTCTGCATTCTTACTATTAACAGCACTATGTGGGTAATAACGCAGAGCTTAGCTGGGCGCTGGTGGCTCATGCCTGTAATCCCAGCTACTCGAGAGACAGTGATCAGGAGAATCTCGTTAGAGGCCAGTCCAGGCAAATAGTTCAAGAGACCATATCTCGAAAATACTCAATACAAAAAAGTGCTGGCAGAGTGGCTAAAGTGGTAAAGTGCCTGTCTAGCAAGTGTGAGGCCCTGAGTTCAAACCCCAGTATTGCAAAAAAAAAAAAAAAATAATAATAATAAGAAGAAGAACCCAGAGCTTTTGTCAAGAGTGAGAACATGCTACCTGTCTCCTCATATTCAGGCCTCCTGGGTGTGCAATTTTCTAGCCCCACACAAATATGCCACTGGATTGTTATATGCAGAGTGATATGTATGCTTGCTTTAGAGACTGAGCAGTACTTTGTGATCCTGGACTAGTTACTAACCCTCCATCTTGTTTGTTATCTAAGAAACAAACATGTTCCATTTGGAGCATCAGTTACATTGGAAGGAAATGTAAGCTGGTGTGGTAGGGCACGCCTGTAATCCTAACACTTGGGAGGCTGAGGCAGGAAGATGTCACAGTTTGAAGGAAACTTTTGAAAGAAATGAACTGTTCTTAGAGTGAGTACTGAGGGGAGAACCATTGCTTTTCTCCTTCCCTTGCTCCTGCTTTGACACCAGGTCACAAAAATTTCTATCAGGAAGCGCTAGGGAAGAGGCTGTAGCCTTCTCTGCCTGCTCACTGGCTCCCCTGGTGGAAGGAGGCCCTTCCGTGACCGGTGAGAAGACAGGCGTGAACACCCTCTGACACCCGTCCTCTGTTGGGTGGGTGTTAACAAGACAAAGGCTGCTCCAGGTGTCCTGCCTGATTTTCTTGCTCATCTTCTCCTGGGTCCTGGGAACAAGCAGTGGCCACACACTGCCGTGCCTGGAACCCTGTCCATGGGAAACTCCCCCAGGCAGGTCCATGCCCCTAGGGAAACCCACCCTTCAGCAGCTGCTGTCTGGAGCTGGCCATCTGTTCGGTTGAAAGCAGAAGGGGTGGAAGCCATTGCAGTTTTGGATCTGCAAGACGATTCCAATCCAGCGCAATAGTAAAATGCACCAACTCCGTCCCTGACATCATGTCTATTTCTCATTGATACAAAATCCAGGCGGCAGAGGGGCGCCAACTGTCAGCAGGTACACAACTTTTCTTTTTTTTTTACTGGGGCTTGAACTCAGGGCCTACACCTTGAGCCACTCCACCGGCCCTATTTTTGTGATGGGTTTTTTAGGGTCTCACCAACGGTATTTGCCTGGGCTGGCTTTGAACTCTGATCCTCCTGCATACATAGAATTACAGGCAGGAGCCGCTGGTGCCAGGCTAAGCGTAGCTATATTTTTAGGTTCAAAATGTGCTCCGGTCAGTGAGGGGAACTGCATGTACCAACCTCAGTGTGTCTTTGATCTCGTCTAGAGACTTGGTTGATCTTGGCCATGAGTACAATGACAGGAGGTGAGAGAGCCTGGATACCCGATGTCACCTCCCTCCTGCCCTCCTCCTACAGAGTTCCACTCGCTCCTGATGTTCCACCTGGTTACTTGGGGAGCCCAGGCTCAGTCTCCAGAACGGTCCTGGTTGCCCGCTCCCAGGCATTACAGAAAATGACTTCCAGTGGATCACAGATTCTACCAAGAGGGTTTGTAAATGCTTTGGCGATCCACAGAAGGTGTTTGATCCACAGAAGGTGTTTACAATGTTCTTTTCCTGGAGTATAACCTCCTCTTCTTCTTCTTCTCTCCCCCTCCCCTCCCGCCTCTTCCCTTCCCCTCCCTCCTCTTGCTCCTGGGGGTTGAACTCAAGACCTCACACTTGCTAGGTGGGCACTCTACCACTGGAGTGGTGCTGCCAGTCCTTTCTAAGACTCACTCGCTTTATGCCTGAGCTGGCCTGCAATTCAAACTCCTATTTGTGCTTCCCTGAATACCAGGTGTGTCCTACTGCACCTAGGCACTGATTGAGATGGAATCTTGTGGATTTTTTGCTAGGACTGGTATCAAACTATGATCCTCCCAGCTCTGCCTCCCAAGAAGCTAAGATTACAGGCTTGAGCCACCACTTCTAGTCTCTTCTTTTTTTAAAAGGATGGGGTCTCCTTAGGTTGCCAAGGCTGGCCTTGAACTCCTGATGCTCCTGCCTCAGCCATCTGAGTAGCTGGGTGTACAGGCACACAGCCCTGAGCCCAGCTTAGCTGAATTTGTGTGTGTGTGTGCGTGTGTGACAGGGTCTGGGATTATAAGCATATGCTATCATGCCCAGACTTCACTGCTTCTTTTAAGAGCAAAAACACGTAGGTACACTTGATAGGGCTACTTTCCTTGTTATGCATGTAATAATTTGTTTTTACTAATATTTTTAAGTCATAATAGTATAAATTTCAGAGTAAGGAAACATGTATTTTGACTCAAACTCTAGGCATGATAAAATATTGAACAAAATGTCTCCTAAGGTTTATTTTCTGGAAATTCACTAACAACAGATGGGACATTTAAAATGCAAACAAAAATCAGAGTGTTAATTTGCAGTGTATTTGCTCTAATAAACTCCAGAAATATCACTGCTATCAACTACCAAAGGCAAATTAATTTAAATCACCTGTATTTAAGCACTAGAAACCATAAGACTCCTTCAAAAGCAGTGAGTGAGATTGTAAAGTCATGCAACGATGGTGTCCTAAGTCCAAAAAGACTGACTGAATCTTACATATGAAAAAACACGGTGTAAAATCAACAGCAACAAGGAAACACCCCACCATCTCCTTCTAGATGTCAAATGAATTAAAAGCAGTATATTTTGGACTTTATTAATGGTGAAGTAAAGCTAATTTGCCCCAATCATGACTGAATTGTTTTTTCAGAATGACTCTGAACAATAAGTAACAGTAGGGTCCACGGACCACCCTTCCCGGCGTGGTGGGTGATGAAGGTGTGCACGCCTCATCAGCTCCGGCTTCTGACTTTCATGGCTTCACAAGCTCGAACATCGAGAATTCACTTTACTCTTTATGGTGAGGGGACAAAGCGTCTTTTGTTTTTTTTTTTTGTGGGATTGGGATTTGAACTCAGGACTTTGCAAAGCAGGTGCTCTCCTGCTCGAGCCATTCCTCCAGCCCCTCAAAGCATTCTCTTTGCGGTACTTGCCCACAAGGTAGACAGGGACAGGCTTACAGGAAAGTAGATCCAGCACACTCCATGCCGAATGTTGTCCTTGTACTGTCCCTTGAAGATCAGTCGCCCATCTGTGTCATACTCCCGGGCTGGACCATTCAGCTCCCCGTCTACATATGTCCCCTGCAGAACGCCACCGTCCTCATACGTGTAAACGCCCTGGCCCTGCAGGGCGTCGTCCACATAATAGCCCTCCAGGGTGCTGTGAGAGGGGGGACAAAAGGATCAGTCAGTCCTCCACTCACCTCTGCCAAGAAAGGTCACAGCCGGGGACGTGGACGGCCGCTGCTTCAACCTCCTGAATCCCACAGCTCAGTGCCAGGAATGATGCTTCCCAGAGATGGTTAAGGTGAGGAAGACAGAGTCAACCCCCGGTCCCCTGACTCCTGGTAATCTCTTTTCTCTGCTGGAGAGAAGTGTCACCTAAATATGTTCCCAAGGCTAGACAGATGCCACTGTGTACAGACCCAGGAGAGACAGGTACACGCCGGTACAGAGCCAGGAGAGACAGGCACACTGTGATCTGGGGCAGGCAGGACGCAGCGTGGCCACAGGACCCGAGGTGGCTGCCCCCGAGTGCCTGGCAAAGTCTTAATTGGAAACTGGAAGCCACTAGAATGGGGGCGGCCTCCATTCGGCTGAAATCACACTATTTGTATTCCCCACGACAAATGGTTGTCGTCCAGCTTTGTGTTATCAATGACAACCGGGCTAAGTTCATTAAGAGAATAAAGTCACTGTAGTGTAGCCTGTGCAGAAATGATCAAAACTCCAACTCAGTGAGGCTGGGACTGATGAGACGCAGTGGTCGTGGCACTCCCACAAGGAAAAGCCAAAAAAGATCCACTTTGGAGAAGGCTTGCTAACCAAGGGACCTTAGGATGCAAAGCACAGGACGGAAAACCAGTCGTTTAGCTGCACTTTAGGAAGCCGGTTTGAATTTCAGATGAACAAATAATTTATTAACATGTGTATGTCTCAAACATTGAACGGTTCAGAGTCAGACAAAATTTTTTTTGTTGCTATTTGTCTAAAATTCCAATTTAACTGGGTGTCCATGCCTCAGCACCTTCTGTTTTTGGTTTACTTTTAGATAGGGTTTTGCACTTTTTGCCCAGGCTGGCCTTAAACTGTGGCCTCCTATTTCTGCCTCCCAAGTTAGCTGGGATTACAGCCATTCACTACCATGCCCAGCCCTTGAGACCTTTTTGACTTTGGAGTCTCAGCAACATTCAAAATATTCCTGTGCACATTTGGATAGAACTATCTCCCGACAGACTTGTCTTCCAACATTTGTCAGGTTCATGATCAAATCTACAAGGCACAGGTCTTGCAAATCAGTTAAAAAAATAAATGTGGGCTTGCACACAGTTCTTCCTAACCACACTCAGGGGCTTGTCTGGTCTCCCTGCCGAGGGCCCATCTGCACACCCTAGAGACACGAAGAAGAAACGACTGCTCCTTCTTTGTCCACATGACTTAAGGCACTGAGTGCAAATTGTTAAGCCCCAGAGGAAATGGACTGTGACAGCAGAAAGGGGCATGTCACACCCTTGAGTGGATTCTCAAAGGGAATAAAAATGAGAAGTCTTTGAAATTTGTCCCTGAGGAAATGAAAGAAGAGCTCCTTACACTGGTGTTCAAGACACTGCCTTTCTTTCTAGCAAATCATGGCCAGCCTTTGTCTTCTTTTTTTTTTCTGGGCCATACGGGGTTTGAACTCAGGGCTTGGTGCTTGCTAAGCAGGTGCTGTACTGCTTGAGCCACTTGCCACCCCATTTTGCTCTGGTTATTTTGGAGATGGGGGGTCTCTTGAACTATTTGCCTAGGGTTGGCCTTTAACCTTGGTCCTCCTGATCGCTCCCTCCCAAGTAGCTAGGATTACAGGCGTGAGCCACCAGCACCCAGCTTGTAAATAAAGTTTTATTGGACCACAGCTGTGCACATACTCTTTCCACACCTGCTGTGACTGCTTTACACTAACACGGGGGAGTCGAGTGGTGGTAACAGGGCCGTATGTGGCCATGGGGCCTAATTGTTACTCTCAACCTATACAGAAAAGTCTGCCAGCTCCCGTTCTAGAATCTTCTGCTCACATGCCTTCATACTCAATGGCCTCTGTATATCTTAGCTTCCATTTGTGGACACATTCAGGAAAAAAGTATGGGCTACATTTTCTTTTCTCTTTCTTTCACCCTGCCTCCTGTCTTCCCTTCCCTTCCTTCCTCATTCTTCCTTTCTCTCTCTTTTTTCCTCCTCTTTCCCTCCTCTCTCCCTCCCTCTCTCCCCCTCTCTCTCGCTCTACCTCCTCTCATGTTTCTGTTGAAGAATGAAAGAAGCTAAGAGGACACGGTGCTGCCTTTGGTGTTAATTTGTGGTCGCAGTTGAAAGGTATGTACACAGAAGCAGCTTGCTAATGTCTCTTGCAGAAGCTGGACAGAGCTGCGTTTGGCTCTGGTCTGTTCATCACTGTCCTGCAGAGGAGACCTCCTTCCCCCCAGTGTATCCTGGCCCCTGCACCCTGCAGACCCTGGCACTCACTGCAGCCTGGTCATGGACTATTACAGAACCCTCCGTGTCTTTACCAAGGTCAAATTGTGTAGCTCAGTGAGTGCTTGGCTAGCGCATGGAGGCCCTGGATCCACGGATGCCTCCCCTAACATAGAAACATCCATTAGTATTTCCTAAGCAGAAGAATGGACGTAAGAGCTGGGTGCCTGTGGCTGATGCCTGTAATCCTAGCTACTTGGGAGGCTGAGATTAGGAGGATTGAGGTTCGAGGCCAGCTTGGGCAAATAGTTTGTGAGACCCTATCTCCAAAAGAACCAGCACAAAGTAGACAGGAGGTGTGGCTCAAGTGGTAGAGTTGTCTGTTCATGGCAACAAATCAAGTGCCACTACACTGCAGGAAGCAGAACTTCTCAGCGCTCTTACCCAATCCAGCGCAGAACACTTTTAACACTTTTTTCATGTATATATCATGCATTTTCCCAATTTTTTTTTTTTTTTGAAACAGGATTTCTCTCTGCAGCCCAGGAGGACCTAGAATTCACTGTCCTTCTGTCTCAGCCTCTCAGGTGCTGGGATTACAGGAACACGCTATCACCTGACTCTGTTTTTAAACTTGTATCTTGGCAGAATCTTTTATCTGTTAAAAAATTATAAAAATGGTCTCTCAGTTGTTTGACTTTTCTGGTCCAGCTTCTGGAAAATTTAGAGGAGATTAACACATCAGTTTTAATTAAATTTCTTTCTCTGCACATATACAGACTATTTTTTACCTATTTTATCAAAGTTCTCATATTATTGTTAAATTTTCAGTAATAAATTAAATTAGGAAAGCTAACTTCCAAAGAAATGGAGAAATTTTACAATTGTTTACCAAGATGCATGTATCTGCATTCTATTCAACTATTACTGTATTTTCATTTAAAAATCTCTTTAGTGTCTAACAACACAAAAGGTATTAGGAGCTCAGTGTTGGTTTTTCTTCATGGTTGGGGGGCCTAGGAGGTTTTGTGCTTTCTGCCTGGTGGGGCCTAAATTTTGTCACCTTCCTCTAGCGTGTTCCTTTCCTTTTGTCAGTTGTACTTACGTAAAAGCCAAGGGAGAAACTTAAAAATGAATCGTATTTCTACCATAAATTGCCATCTCTATCCAAGTTAAATTGTGATTCTCGCTGGATGCCAGTGGCTCACACCTGTAATCCCAGCTACTAAGGAGGCAGAGATCAGCAGGAGCGCGGTTCAAAGCCAGCCTGGGCAAACAGTTTGCAAGGCCCTATCTTGAAAAAGCCCATCACAAAATAGTGCTGGAGGAGTGGCTCAAGTGGTAGAGTGCCTGCCTAGCAAACATAAGGCTCTTGAGTTCAAACCTAGGTGCCTCCAAAAAAAAAAAAAAAAATTACGATTTTTTAATGTTAAAACATTGTCTTAGGAATTATTTTACATGACAAATATATATTACCTCTTAAAATATTGCACACTAAGTAAAGAAGACCCAACCCATCTGCTGGAGCTATCTTCAACCTTCAACATGTACACCCTCCACAGGGTGACAAGCAAGCCAAACGATCACCATCGAGATTTCACGCAGTGTACTGTGCTATCTTCAAAGTCACTTTCGTTTTTATCCTTCAATAGATCTCTGAGTCTGTATCTGATTATTAGGAAGGCTCAAAGAACAGTAAAATAATTAGACAACAGTTGGTGAAATTTAGTTTTGCTCTCGAAAAGAAAACCCTTGGAAAAACTTACCACAAGGGGCTGAATGCTTGTACATTTGTAGGTTTGTCCATTGAAATCCTAAGCCCCCATGAGATGGAGGAAGAGGCTGGGCCTTTGGGAGACACGGTTGGGGCAGAGCTCCTTGAATGGGTTTCAGACATATAAGATACATCAGGGAGATTTTGGGGGTTTTTTGGGACTGGGGTTTGAACTCAGGGCCTACACCTTGAGCCTACACCAGCCCTTTTTTTGTGATGGGTTTTTTTGAAATGGGGCTCAAGAACTATTTGCCCAGGCTGGCTTCAAACCATGATCGCCCTGATCTCTGCCTCCTGAGTAGCTAGGATTACAGGCGTCTGCCACTGGTGCCTGGCAAGGGAGCTTGTGTTCCTTCTCTCCCTTCTCTACCACATGAGGACGTAAGGAGAAGACAGCCACCTACAAGCCAGGAATCAGGTCCTCTCCAGACACCCATCTGGAGATCAACACCTTGATCTGGAACTTGCCAGCCTCCACAACTGTGAGAAATGAACACTGTTTAAAACACCTACGTGGTATTTGTTACAGTGGCCAAACTGACTAAGACACTGTGATATGTGTACCTGTTTTAGTTTTCCACCACAGTTCCTGACTCATAACTGTCCCCAAGGCAGGCCATGGAAACTAGAATTTCTCTTCCCCAGGGTGGGTCACAGACACTAATCTTCCCCCATCTTTCTGTCTTGGAGCTAGTCATAGAGAAACTAAATCTGTCACCTGCCCTTGTTGGACAGTAGGTTGTAAGACCTTCCTCATTCCAGGGAGTTCCTGTCTATACACCAAAAGGAGGGATGTGACATGGAGGCCAAAAGAATCTGAACAGCTGGGCCTCTGGCGGTAGGGAGAGGGCACACAGTCCACTGTCATGGCTATGCAGCAAGGTCTCCAGAGAAACCTAAAGGGACAGGGTTTGGAGAGCATCCAGGTAGCTGGACAC